ATTTTAATTTGCACTTTTCCTATGGAATAGGATGCTACTTTAACAAATCAGTAATACCAATAAAGTGCTTTCAACTGTCTTGAGAAAATATTCTCCTTCTCGTTTATTTTATTTATTATTATACATTCTCAGATGGCACAAAATTTCAGCTTTCTCAGTATTCAAAATCGCAAAACTATAGGAAAGAAATGAACAAAAGCTTAGGACATTTTGTCAGGGAAATCAATATTTTGGAAAATGTTTCATATAATATGTGGGCCTAATTGGACAAGAGAAGTTAAAACGATGTGAACGTGCGCTATAAGTTCAAGAATGGTGAGTGGAATAAGTAGTTGGCTTTTTCGACTCGAGTTTAATTCAATCAATAGAAGCAATTGGCCGCATTGAAGGCTCAAAATAGAGTAAATTTTGCTCAGTCCTTTTCGAATCAATAATATTGGTGAATGTGCATTTCTCCATCTTTGGTAAATAATCCCTACTAATTTATAACTAAACAGGAGAGGCACAAAGAAAACCTAAAGTATTGATTTAAGTAATTAATTTGAGCAATGAAATTAATTTATTGAATTACTTAAATCGTAAGAAATTTCGTTGAAAGTATAAAATGAAAGCCATTTCCATTTTTCCAGATATACACAGTTTTGCATAGTTTCAAATCCCTTTTCGTTGAAGCCTGATCTTACTGCAACAGGTATGAGCTGTTGCCCAAGACAACTTCATTTAAGCATAAATATATCAAAAATATCCATTTTGGCATTCACCACTGCGAAAGAAGAAGATTCTTTAAGGCATCTTTAAGCGATTACGCATGAAGTCTCTCCACCCCTGACCAAACACAACTCCCCTCACAGATCAAGTTAATTCCACACCACCATTACTACAATTGATTTTTCAAAGTGCTTTCTTTGAGATGAATTGCGACACAAGTATTCTGTAACCTCCTTCTGTTGAAACCTAAACAGCCAATTTGCTAACGAAAAGCTTTGAGCCAGTCTCACGCAAAACATGTCTCTACAAAGAGTCACCGATGATGCTCATCTGTGTTTAATCATGACCACCTACTATTTAACCTCACTATATCATCGTTCACTTTTCGCAGGGAAATACTTAATCCATTTTCCTCTAATAGCATTCTAACAACGTAGACTCCAGCATTTCTTATTGAGTCAAATGACTATCCAGCATGTTCGACTCAATCAAAATTTATCTGGTTTACTTATTTTATGATCTTTTACTAATTTTCCACCAGTAATGCTTTGCCGAAATACAGTGACAATTGGGTTTATCGCTGATTAGGATAACGTGGACAGTAGATATATATTGGTGGTTGTAAATTTTGTGTTTAAAATAAATAGAGCTCTCTGTGCCATCAACGTGGTCTCTAGCTCCTCCTGGTTAAAGCTGCTTGCACAGCCTTACATTTACATTTTAAGCAACGTCATTGGTCGCCTTAATTTTAAGTTAGACTTTAAGTATTTCAAATTCTAAGCCTTACAGTTGCGTATTAAACCATATTTGCGTTTTATAGAAGTTCCATTTGAAGCAAATACTTCATCAATATGTGTGTACTGATAAATGCTGTAAACTCGTAAATGTAGATTACGTTGAACATTATTTATCATCTAAATGGTTTCCTTGTATGGATGAAAATTCGACTTATTGAGCTAATGAAATTTACCCTTTGATTGATGTATACCAATTACACATTAAATTAAACATAAATAAAATATGTGAAATGAGGTATAAGGTGGATGTTTTCTTACAATCATCTCGAAATGAATAATTCTAAATTTACAATGGCAATTCATTTATTCTCGGAGCAATTGCACTAAATGAGCCCGAAATGTTTAATTAAATTTACTCAATTTTTCCAACGCAAATACATAGCTGTCAATGACTCTCATCCTCACTGTGGGTATTTTGGAACAATTCAGCCTATTCGTTTGAACGAAAAAATGTCTTTTTTTCCATTGACGTCAGAATGATTACTTTGACCTCAAAATTATGTTAACTGATTCAATTGAGCAATTATTGACATACTCCTTCTAAATAATAAAATATGTGCAAACAGATTTAATTTAATTGTAGGTAAGTAATCGAAATCATGGCGTTGTAATATCGTAATAGTCTGAATGTCTGGCAATGACTTTTTTCCTGATAAACAATATTTGAAAAATAATTTTAAGCAATTTTTAGGTTAGTAAAACTTGAAAGCAAGTGAAATCTACATGACGATTTCACGAATTGTGACCAGAACAAGTTGATGTCTTTGGATGATGTAAAGGCTACGCACACAATACAGAGGATTGAACGTATTCCACAACATTCTTATCAGCAGATCAATCCTTTAAATAAGTGGTCATTAAATCGATTTCTATTTAATATATTTTTTTAAATGACGTCCCTTATGACTTTGACTAACACGCAATCAGCCTTCATTACTTTCTCCACGGAAATCATTTTATAGAGAAAAGCCAATTAAAATTCATATCTGCATTTTACACACCTATTAAGTGCTTGTTGTTGTTTGCATTTCACAAAATATAACAAGACGTAGTTATTTACCTTGATATGCATTTGGAAATATTCACTGAACAATTCAAAGGAAAGAACTTGAAGAAACGTAGCTATGTCCGGAACTACGGATAAGTTTTAGAAATATTTTTTTTACATAATGGAGACTGTCTAAAGAAAACACATTCTGAAACACTTCTTTGAAAATTCTTCGATTTATTTAAAAATAGTAAAATAAAATTTGGAGATGGCCGTAGTTCCAGACATAGGCAAGTCCTTAAAGTAAATTCTCTTAAAATTTTAAGTAAATCGGTGCTGCGGAATCTGAGAAATCGTGGGAATCAGGTTAAAAAAACGGCTTTGAGGAAAACGCGTTTAAAGTCCCGAGTAAAATTTTTTGCAGTCTTAGTCATAAAATTATATTTTTAACCTTGGTTGCTCAACCCTTGCTGGTTTTCTAAACAATTATTCTTAAGAATACGATAGACTTACCTCCACGTGGTGCACCCTGGACAACGTACGACTTACCTCCACGTGGTGCACCCTGGACAACGTATCTTCTTACGGCAATACGTGGTGCACCCTGGACAACGTATCTTTGTACGGCAAAATACTCGGCATTCGTTTTTGACTTCGATTTATTATGATTAGCCACCTGGACAACGTATCTTCGTACGGCAAAAAAGTCTATCATTTTCGCATTTGATTTGACTTCGATTTATTATGATTAGCTTGAAAAAAGGCTATAAGAAAAACATTATGATTAGATTGAAAAAAGGCTATAAGAGAAATCGCCCTTATTAGCTTTGAAAAAGGCTATAAGAAAAATCGCCCTCGCAGAGCTTGAAAAAAGGCTATAAGAAAAATCGCCCTCGTCAGGGCGAATCACAACGTCTTCAGATCCCCCAGTGGAATGCTGGAGGGATGTCACATGACAAAAGATCTAAGTACAGAAAATCCTACAAACCTTTGATGTAGACATTTTCGCAATTTTGGAAGCAAACATTTCGGATGACAAACTGAAGTACTACCAGTTCCCAGGTTACACCCTGTACAACCTACCTAAATACCGGCAAGTTGCAAGTGGAATTCTAACTGGGGTAAAAGAAGTCCTCACCTCACACTACGGTCTAATCAAGACTATGGACTCGACAAAAGACATATGTGAAATAATCAGATTTGATGTTTGGAAATGTCGAAACGACTTCAAGGTATATGCAGTCTATAATTCACCTCAGAATTGTCCAAACTTTGTCTTTCTGAACTTCTTACACAAAAATGTAGCATTAGGAGACTTCAACGTCTATTCCATCAGATATGGTTACAAGGATGCAAACATAGCTGGAAAGGAAATCGAAGGCATGCTAAACAGCAACCCTCTGGAACTTATTTACAGCAATGAGGATCCGGCTACATATTTGCAATACAATGGAACCAGGAAAACGCCTGACTTTCTCCTGGCTTCAAGCGACATCAGTGAGCATACACGCCGCAAAATAATTGACGATCCTGGTTCTGGTCAAAAACCAGTAATTGCTAGTATTAACATCGCCAGCAAAAGCATAACAAGGAAAGTGCCAACTGAGCAATCATGGAACTTCAAGAAGGCTGACTGGTCTAGATTCAATAACTTTCTAGACAATGAACTTCACACAAGTCCCCTCAGCTTCAACCAACATCCTGACAAACTTGGCACTGATTTCACGAATATAATGATCAGATGTGCAAAAAAAACTATTCCCCAAGGCAAGACTAAACATTATCGAGTGTTTTGGTTTAAACACCTTGAGGAACTGAAAAGAAAACGGGACGACCATCGCAACACTGCTGATCAGACTGGAAGAACGGAAGACTCGCAACACTGCTGATCAGACTGGAAGAACGGAAGACGTAAAAGCCTGGAAACGACAATCAGCTGTCCTAAGGCAAGCCATCTTAAAAGCAAAACGGACTTCCTTCGACAAGTTCATCTCAATTATCAACTATCAAATTGACTTCCAACGCACTTTCAAATTCCTGGGTAACCTCGAAAACAACGAGGAAAGACCCAAGAAAGAACAAATACGTTTAAAAAAGAAACTGCTTACCACCGACTCCGTAATATCTAACTGCTTTGATTGGTTCTATTCCCAAAGGCAAAAGAAAACTCTTTGTCAAAAAATCCTCAAGAGATTTAATGATACAAGTTAAACAGTTTGATAAAATAATGGAAGCCATAGATACAAGTAAGACAGTTTGGTGAAATTAAGGAAGAAACGAAGATACAAGTAAGACAGTTTGGTGAAATTAAGGAAGATGAACACCAAATAATGTACTTACTGAACCATTCCGACCTTGCAAACTTACTGCTGCGATAAAACAGCTCAAGTGCAAAAGGTCTCTTGGCGAAGACGGTGTTCATCCTGAATTTCTAATTAGAATAGGACGAAAAGCCAAGGTAACCATATTGACGCTTTTCAACAAAATCTGGGAGACCAGTCTTGTACCTAACCAATGGAACGTTGCCTTAGTAATACAAGTACTAAAAAAGGGCCCACACAAGCGTGCTGGCTAAACTTATGGAGAGGCTGACCTAGTTCCTTGAGACCAAAAACACTCTTAGGATTGAACAAGCAGGTTTTAGGCCACAAATAGGATACGTGTGGGGTGCTGGGGAGGCCAAAAGTACAGTTGGAGACCAAGCAACCCACCATTCTTGCACTCTCACTAGCCACTTCCCGCCACAAAGATCAACGAACCAACAAGTAGCCACTCTCTCAAACACATCAAAGATGTCCTTGATGCAAGAAATACCCTTACGTCTGTTTCATGCCCTTGATGCAAGAAATACTCTTACAGCTGTTTTCGTAGGTTTCAAATCAGCATATGACTTAGCATGGAACGAGAAGCTAATTCTAAAATTGGCAAAGATTGGTATTAAGCATAACTAATTAAATTAGATAAAAGCATCCATTGGACAAAGATCATGTAAAGTCAGATACGGAAATGCTCTATCAAAATCCAATCTTTTACAAATAGGTCTTCCACAGGGAGCTGTCACAAGCTGCACTCTTCTCAATGTCTTCATCAATGACATAGCCGAATTGGTACAGGTAGTCACGGGCATCAAGTGCTTACTCTAAGCAGATGATCTTGTACTATGGTATTCCGCCCCCAAGAAAAACGCTCAGGAGAGGACGGAAAGTGCTCTTAATTGTGCAATTAAACTACTGGCATACTGGTGCGACAACAATGGAATGGTAATCAACACCGCGAAAACTATATTCCAAACTTTTTCTTTGGCCCCTCACATCATAAACCCGCTCCTGAGTTACAAAGATACTACCATAGAAAAGACCAATGAGTTCACATATCTCGGTATGACTTTTGACACAAAGCTAACGTGGAAAAGTCACATTTGCTAAAATAGCAGAACGAGCAGAACTGAATGTCTGCTAAAATAGCAGAACGAGTCTCCAATAGACGGAATGTCATGAAGCGTCTTGCTGGTAGCGTATGGGGCTGTGCACGCTCAACTCTAGGACCACTTAACAAGATGTTTATTTAGCCAATAATGTTGTATTGCTGTGAAATATTCAGCCGTTTGTATGCTGTGAGCCACTCATTACAGCCACAGAGGTGACTCTCATATCAATACGAGAAGGCACACAACCAAGCATTACGACTAATTACTAGAGGAATAGACGGCCACAAAACCAAGAGGTGACCCTCAAACCTCTCAAGTAGGCACACAACCAAGCATTACGACTAATTACTGGAGGGATAAAATCAAAACCCATTGACCCAATACTCCTAGTTAAAGGAAGCACCATAATATGTTCCCTTATCAAGAAAAGGCCTTGATCCTGTATGGGAAGCTACTGTGCATTCCCATGGACAAGTTCTGAAAACGCAATCTGGTCTAATACAGAAACCCATAGAACTGAAGAAAGAATTACAAGTCGACGGCAAACCAAAAAGCCTCTCTCTCCCCATGGACCCATTAGCAGACACTGATTTAATATGTTGCACCCAACTGCTTGGCTTCTTCAGGAAATCAAACACCACTCCAGAACAAATGAGCTCACTGGCACTTGTGACAATCAATTTCAACTATTCTGGAGATCACTGCAAACTTTGGTGCAGTTGTCTATTCCGAACTCTTCTCTTTCTACGCAGCAGTGGGACACAATAGATCCACTTTCGAAGGAGAAATAGAGACCATTGGTATAGCATTATGCCAATTATGTTGCCTAAATACGAAATTCACCAAAGCGGTGATACTTTCGGACTCGCAGTCGGCAATAAACTCAATTGGAAACAGAGAGATACCCAAAACAGCTGAGATAAAGGAATGTAGAAAACTCTGTGAGCTGCTGAAAGAGAGAAAAACAAAACAGAGGTCTTACAATGGATTCCTGGTCACTGTGACATTAAAGGTATTGAGCTTGATGACACACTTGCTATGAAGGGGGCAACGATTTTGCAATGCATGGACCGGTCGATGTCTTTCCACGCAATGAAAGCCTTAATCAGGAGAGAATTCCAGAATGTCTTTCCACACAATGATGGCCTTAATCAGGAGAGAATTACATGTTCTTTCCACGCAATGAAAGCCTTAATCAGGAGAGAATTCAGGACCTCAAGGCTCAACAAACTAAAAGCTCGAACAAAGGAGAAACTGTGGACAGTGTCACTCTCCGACATAGACGACTGGCCAAGAATCGAAGCCGTTGCTGAGTATAGACTACGTACCGGACACGATTGATTGTCAAAACATCTCCACAGATTGGAAACATACACTCAACCGCCATGCCCCCTATGAAACCTACAGGAGGAAATGAAGAAGACCCACCAGATTCGGTGTCTAGCTCTTAAGACATCAACGGAAAGCCAGAGATACTGGGAAGCAAGAAGACGGCTAGTGAACTGGTATTAATTAACCGCTATAAATGTTCGCCCCTCCCATTGGATGAAGCTGAAGTCAAAGTTTAAGAGCTAATGATAAATATCACATAGCCTGCTTTTTGAAATAATAATAATAATATTTTTAACCTACATTTATTCAATCTGCTATTCCTGCTGCATACATCGGACCATTCTTGACTTCAAATAAACTATTTTCGCCTTTTTGTTTTCTATTCGAGCATTTCTGGCCTCCTGTGATGCGCTGGAGGCTCGTATCTCGGAGCGGTCAATCTAATAGCAAATGCATCCATTTCTGGACCAATTTTCGCTCCCATAATCGTCATCATCTTCAATATCGGTATAAATCCCTCATAAAAGATGCATAGCAATAAATGTTTATATATATATATATATATATAGATAGATAGATAGAAAANGTCAAAGTAGGCTTATTCAAAAAGGAAAATGCATTGATAATATTTTCCTACAGCGGCTCAATCAAAAGACGATTTGTGTAGTAGCCTTACTCCACCTCATATCAAATATAAATTTCACTAATCTCAAAGATAATGCTACTATTGTTTCAAAAGTAGTCGTTAAAATGGGGGGGGGACATTTTGAGTATTGAAATCAATATTTACCACTAAATTTAAACGAAAGAGTGCCGAGAAAACCATTATTGAAGTAGATGATGGCACTCCACTCCTGTAACAATGCATGTGGGATTCGTCAATTTGTTTCCCAACAGGGCACTCAATTATTGATAGATCAACTTCTTTTTAAATTTCAGCATGTATTGCACACCTTATTGTCAATTATTAATATGCACCATTTAGGCGCAAAATTCAACTTACACGCCTACTACAAAACCTACGATTTAAAATTTCTCTGCGCAACGATATAAAAATCAAAAAGAAAATATTTTCCCAGATTTTCCAATGATAGACAATCATTTTAAGCGTGCCACCTGACATAACCCAAAGTGAACTCTCTTTTTCCGATAAGTATGATAATGCAGAAATGGAAATAAGATTTTAGTAAATTATTTATTTGGAGAATTTACAAAATATTGTTAATTTATGACAACTGTTCTATTTTGGTATTTAACTTAAGGATTAAGTAACAAGTGTCTTGAATTTGCATTATTAGAGGAGTTATGAAATCTGTTATTAAAATAATGGGATGCCTCTACTAAAGTCATTTCTTCATTTTGGCATCATATTTGAATACTACTGCAATCTACGCCTGACCCATCGTGACTTTAATTGTTTCCTTTAAAATTTCCATATTAAATATTAGATTACTATATGCGAGACTTGGTCTATTTACCAAACAATATATGCCTAAGCATTTTTATTAAAGTAAGCAAACAACGGAACAAAATTGGTATTTAGAATAATTGTCTATTTTACACCACCTTTTTAAAGTCCTATCGCTTTAAATTACTCCTTAAGATTAATGATCGACAGGTTTTATGGAGCCGATTCCTTATTACGGCCTCTCAGTGTGACAAATTAAGGCTTCCGACATATCACCGCCTACACCCGGTTGTAGAATACATCTTTCTTTCACTCTGAAGCCGATAAATGTCCATCATCTTGTACTTGCTTGGTTTAAATAAATGCCATTTTAGTAAAAAAGGCTTTCGATTTTTCCGGTTCAACGTATTCAAAAATTCTCGTTATACTAAAACCAAAGATGATGGTTACACCATCAATTATAGTGAAAGAATTTCAATGCACACACATTCAATGAAATGGACCTATCTACTTTTTTCTTGTTATGATTCACTTTGTGAACCATGAAACCGTTAGAGATGTAAATATGATACTTGTCTCAAAGTCAGAAAAAATTGGACTTTCGAATTTCCATATATTCATTACTATGACTATTACGACTAAACCCAACCCCTACCAGTTATATAACTAACGAGTACAATTAAGCCTTCAGCTCTGTCTCTTAAATTCTCTTCAATTATCAT